CCCCCCGATAGTATGTTGACGTACCTTCTGTTGTCCGTGTAACGAGAGGAGGTCGCTATGCTGCTGGCAAATCGATTCAAGCGATTAGAATAGGGGGCACGACGGGCCGCAGTCACAGAGTGCACGCGGTGTAACGCAGAACAGGAACAGGACCGGGGGCCTCCTCCTCCTCCTCCTCCTCTGCCTGCCCGGGCGCCGCCGCCGCAACCTCGGCCAACCTCGAGCCCCGCGGGAGAGTCATGGGGGAGCATCGCTGCCACACTCTGCTGGCACACATCACGTCGGTTATTATACACAGGCATTAATTTCAATTATTGATAAACATGGAGCATATTTATTTATAAAGCGCACAACGAGTGGTAACGATAGACATGTCGAGACAACACATCACATTTAAAAGTTACACATGGTAATATCACAGGGAAAGCATTACTACAAAGGAAATGTGACAAAATAAGACACATTACATAAAAATGTATGAAATATAGTGTACAGTAAAGCAACATTTATAAAGGTGCAGTACTAACGACACCATTAGAGCTAATTATCACACAAGTGAATTTGATATTTCAGTGCTCTTTTATAATCCTAATCTATCTAGAGATAGAATTTATTACCTATATCACAGGTACAGAAACTCTACTTTTATTCAACTGCTGAACTGTAGTATGATTATTTTTGAAGGACAATGTTGAATTTGTTTAAAATTTAGAACTTTTTTTGTTAGGCTGCAAACCTAACTGATCAATATTGTCCCCCCCTAAAATTGGCAAACAAATCTCACAGAAAGAAAACCACATAACTGTGAGGAAGAAAACTCTTCTTACATTTGGTGAGTTGAGTCAGGATGTCTTTTCAACTCTTTCAATCAAATCCTTTTCCAAATCCATACCATCTATCAGGAGCTGTAAGAAAATAGCTATGCATCGCAGCCATAAAACGGTTCTGGTACTCTTCAGGGTGAACTATTGTTGGTGTTTTCCCCTGACCGGCCATCTTCTTAAAAACATTTTCCAGACGTTTATCCCATGTAAATGAGCGAATGTAATCTGGATTTTTTTAACAAAAACAAAATGAGAATTGAATACAGTGTGAAAAATTGTTAGGAACAGAGTGTTGTAAATATACTCACCAATAATTCCTACAACTAATTCCTTTCTAGACTGATCAAGCCCCACCAAGAGTGAGTAGTCCATAACTGACTGTGAAGTTAGAAATTCTGTATCCCTTTTAAGAGCCTGCATTAACACAGACTTAGTATGAGGTAGCACATATAGAGGACTATCTCGAGTAACTAAAGGAAAAAATTGAAACATTTACTAAAAAAGCTTAACCAATATAACAATATTCAACATTTTGAAAGAAAAGCTTACTTTTTAGAAGGTTTTCATCAAGGAGTACAATCTCTCCCCTAGGTTCGGACCCAGGATTTACCAATCTATTTCGGAATGAGCCCTTCAGATCAAATTTGTGGCTGACTTCTCTTCCATAAAATAAGTTTTCCATAACCAAAAGGTTGGAGCGTGAGGCAGTTCCAGTCAGATCATTTTTGAAAACAATACGGTAGACTCCCAAAATTTTGGCCATCATGGTAGGTTTGTTACTTTTAAAATTATCTGTCATATATGAAAAGAATTGAGGAGCTCTGTCAAGAAAATGACTAAGCTCTGTTCTTGACATCTCCTTTAAAACAAGGCGATCATCTGGGAGAAAAGAACAATAAATTTGTGTTTGTACAGGAACGACAACATGTACTAAAAACTGAAATGTAAACGTCTGAAAAGCACTCACCTCTTGATTTGCAGAATGTTGACCCTGACTTTCCTCCCCTGGCCGCCCAATCAACACAGTGAGACAGGGAGCGAATAAATGCTTCTTCCCCTCGGGGCCAAATAAGATGCCGTAGCTTTAAAAACTCTTCAGCATAGTAAATACGACAGAAAAAATTTGTAGAAGCATCACTGAACTGCACCTATTGGGGGCAACAGATACGACAATATATTTCTGAAGATGCGCAACAAATTAAACTACAGTTCCTAGAAAGCATAGGTCAGAACCTCAATGTATGTATGATTTTGCTGATTATTTGCTGGAGCAGAGACTGGATTATAAGCTCCAGTTGAAGACAAGTTTTCTGGAGATAAGGCATTGGCAGTAGTATTACTTAAATTTGTCGAGTAGGCAACACCTTCAATATTTCCTGATTCTTTTGCCATCCTGAAGACAGAATTAAAAAAGTGACAATTGTATGGTACACAAGTCAAGGTCTTATTTTGACAAGAGCAAAAGGGCAAATGGGAAACAACTTTAAGTTTTTTTTAACACTAGCACATTAAAAACATTTGGAAAAACTAAATAAAAATTCAAAATACAAAATAGACTACTTTCTTAAAGGGTTAAGAGTATATTGAAAACTTATAACAATTGATAGAATGTAACAGGTTTTGTACAGCAACATTCAGAGTTGTTTCCTCTTTGCTAAAGTCTGGCAAACTACAGAAATTACTTTTCAGGTTGGAACAATCTAGAATAAAATTAAAATGGCAGTAACTACAAGAACAATTATAGCTTACGCATTGGCTGATCCGCGCAAAAAAGACAAAACACCCCCGCGCCGCTGCTCTGATGACAGCAATAACTCCCCACTCAAACTATCTCGATCTTTTTCTTTATCTCGCTCCCGATCTCGATCACTTACGCCGTGTCCATGAATTTTCTTAGGTGCAATAGGTGCTCTGAATGAAAAAAAGTAGTGTCATGTATGGGGAGGACTGACAGTGACAGGAAGTGACAGGTTGGGATGGCCTCACACAGCTAGCCTCACTAGGGAGTGGAAGGGATGAAAAATAATTTCCTGGAATCCCAAAGATATGAAAATAAAGTGAAGGCTCACCCAGTGGTACTAATAACTTCAGCGGGTGGATTCCTCACAATTTCTTCTAAAGAGCGTTGATACTCATTTGATGCCAGGGCATGGGCAATGATAGTGCTCGGCTGACTTTCTCGGACAGCTATCGGTATTGAAGCACTTGAACGTGGCATGATATGAACCTCTTGCAAATTAGGTGGAACCTAAACATTAAGAAAAAAAATGAATTAGACTCACATATCTGTGATACATTTCAATTGAAAATTAAAGCATTAGAACTACTTTACCAGAATCGGAGAAAGTATGGAGCCTGAAGGTAAAAACTGTGATAGAATTGTCTTGACACTTTTGGATTGCATTGATTGAGTTGTCTCGTAACTAGCATCCACCTCCGAATCAACAACAGATGATTGTCTGCTTGGTGTAGAGTGTATAGCATTTTCTTGCGGAAGAGTCTCTTTCTGGGTAGATATAAGAACTTGATTTCCTTCGGAAAAGAAAACAAAGATTTATTTTAGAATAGTAGAAAAAGGTTAATAGAGTTAGGATGTCTATATAAACAAATTCAAAGAGTAAAACTTACTTTCTGGCTGACTGGCATTTGTAGGATTATTAAGAGCTTCACATGTAACCCCTATATCATTAAACTGAGACACATTTTGGTTCAAGCTTTGGGTATTGGCAACACCTTTTGCTGTCTCCTCTTGAGATAGACTGAGAGCCTGTAAGCAAATTCATCATTTTTATTTTACCTCATAACATTTGAAACTACACTCATATAATCTTATCCAAAACAGGACCCCGTCCTCAAGCAACCATTTTCTCTCCAAGTACATAACAACATTAAAGAATAAATGAAAAGCACTTATTGGAATAAAACTCAATCACCTCATCAACACATTCTTGATTTAAATTCATTGATCCTTTCATGACTCTTGATCGATCATCAACAGCCTTTAGACGTGTGTTCCAATTGGCCACTGCATCAATCATCAAGCGACGCAGGTCCACCACTGTATCTTCTAAGTGCCACAGGATTTTCCAATGCCCAGATTCTAGAACAAAGTATTTTTTTTAAGATAGGAATATATATTAATACTAAAGAAAAATTAAAGGGTGGGATTAAATAGAAATTACTACATTCTTACCAGCAACAGGAGTATTTTGAACCAAAGCATCTTCAACCTTAGCTTTAAACTGAGCTTGATCTTTCTGAAGTTGCGATCTTAGTCCTGGTAATATATGTGATGAATGAAACAAATATACCTCATAGAAATAACCCAGAAAAAAGATAGATACAGATAAGTTGCCATACCTGGGTCATCGGTGTTCAAGATACGTTCCAAAACCTGACTGAAAATTGTTTGACCAGCAACAGCAATTTCATTTATTTCATCAGACACTTGGGTCAAATGCTCAGTTTCCCAATCCAGATTTACTGTCTCTGGTGGCAATGAAACTTCCCAAACCATTATTGGCGAATACCTGCAATTAAAGTTAAATTGGAATAAAGAGGTGTCACCTCAGATTTAAAATACAACGAAATTTATAGGCCTTACTTGAAAGTTGCCACAATATTACGATAACCAAAGTACTGGTAGAAATCATGATGCAAAGAATGAGAACACGGTAGGGAAGCTTGGTCTGCCTTATCAACGTGCTCTTCACGGAGGTAATACATGTTTCCATGAAATCGCAATTCCAGGTATTTACCAAATGACAAAGCCCATGTATCAGGAGACATGGGAGTGACAGGGGAAACCTAAAAAAATAATTAGAGCTTAAGTAATATAAGATGGAGTAACTGATGTAAAGAAGCCATCATGCCATGACATAAATTTTGAAATAATTACCACACTACACAAACTGCAGCAACTCCACATGAGAATATGGTCGTTAGTAGGAAGAGAACCAACTCCTTCTACAAGCTGCAGTGTCACCTGAACACAACCTGGGTAATGTACAAAGCGTCGGACATGTTGAAGCATAGATGTTGAGCAAGACTGTGAAGGGCATTCAAATGTTGTTCGAAAGCAATAGCGTTCCAAAAAGTTTCCCAGAGAAATGTCATTGCGCCCATAAAAGTCCATGTTGACAACCCTAAGAAAAATATCTTGTTATCAATCAACACACAAAAATGAAACAAGACGTTTTTAGAGGGCAAATTGTTTTATCGTACCAAGGATTAACACAAAATGCAGGGGCATTCTGTGGAAAGGTTGAAAAGCTACAAAATAGGACAGACAAATGCAGATGATTTCCAGGGTCAAGCACATCAGTATTGCTGTCATCAGATGTTGATGCCGGCAATGGTGGCGCCGAATGACTGTACTGCTGTGGCTGAATGGAATGATCGATTGAGATCCGCCCTCCACAGGCTCGAAAATGAGCCAAAACTTCAAGTATCTCAGAACTTGTAGCAGGAAGTGTTATTTTCATATCCATAAAAGGATGCTTTGGGGCGGCCTAGAACATGAATGTAAAAGATGATCTAACTCTGTTTTAGAGTATCTGCAGACAGTAAAATATAAGATGAAAACAAACCATCAGAGCACTAGATGAATCGCAAGGGAATGAAAGGGTCTCAGAGCCAATGCCAGTGCCAACACGACTCCGCGAGTTCTCATTCTCATGAAATTGACGGGACCAGTAAATTTCCAGAGGAAAGTACTGTCGCAAACGGCAAGATCGTCCTTGATCAGTCTCAAGGAATGGAACAGTGAACTACGAAAACAAAAAGATTATCTTTCAATGCTTTCAAATGGAGAATAAAGTAGGCAGTACAATTTTGATTTTAAAACCTAGTTACCTTCAAATATGGTGAAATTGAAAGAATTGTGTCATCCAATGCTTTGCGGAACTGGTTTAAGTAGGGTATTTTGGCAACAGCCAAAATTTGGGAGTTATTAACTTGAACATGGTGTGCTTCCTCTCCTGAATTTAAATACTGATGAAGAGGATCACTGAAGTCACTTACACTTTCAGCAGTGACCCTTTTCATAGCTTCTGGTTGATCTGCACTATTCTTTCTGCGGGTTTTGGATGCAGAGCTTTGATCCCCTCCACCTTTAGTACCAATTTTATCAGCTGGGCTTTCTTGATTTTCACTCTCCTCCTTTGATTCTTCTAATCTTTCAACAGATATTTGTTTATTGTCCATACCACTTGATTCTGGTAAATAGCTTGGGGAGCTACGTTCAGAATGACCAAAGTTTGGTTCTTCAAAAAAGTTATCAGAGGTAGCACATGGGGGTCGAGCAAATTCATCCATGAGATAGGACTGCTCTAAACGCCAATGATAGCGACAAAATATCATATGGCGAAATACCCTTTTAAGTCTAGACAGTTCAGACTGATTTCCCCCACGTAGGAGAACAGAACACCCAAACTGTGGGAATGGGCATCCTTCAAGAAACATTATAGTTTTAAGGCCTAAAGCAAAAGAAAAAAAATTGTATTAGCATTCACAACAGTAATTAATCAATAGCCTATATGGTGCATGGCTTTTCTTTACCTTGTTCTGTGTTAAATGTACGCAGATAAAACTTTTTACATTTTCCTAATTGAGGGCGTCTGATTAGAGCATCAACAGACATAATTATTTGAGTTTGTGTACACCTTGAAATTCGTTCCAACACACTTAACTTAACATTTAAAGCCAGTGTTATACCAAGAAGCCGAAGGGACTCCTGAGCTATCCTAGATACATTTCTAGAGACCAAAATTAAATCCGGCTTGAGTGCTTCGATACGAGCCACAATGTTCCTTAAATAATTTTGTTCCTACACAAGAAAATAAAAGAAACGTTTTAATAGAAGTAAGAATTAATACTCCGATAGAAGAGCATTAGATCTTTAGAATTACTCATGAAAATGTAAATAAATCACCTGCATCATTACTGGTTCCAAAGAAAGAAATCTGCCTTCTACTCTCTGATAAACAATAGCACAGTTTAAAAGGAGAATCCTGGGGTTTTCAAGACGGATGACCATTGACCGATGGGCCACATTTTTTGTGAATGCAATTCCATTAACTATTTGACATTCAGACCGAGTACCACCAGTGATTTTTTTGAACTGTATATAACTAGAAAATAAAGAGATATGAAAAGTATAAAATGTGACAGGCATGCATTAATACATGGCTGGTGGGGGCATACTGAAATACTCAGCCAATACGCACTGTCTGATATCAGTTTCCTCAGAATCATTGGTTGCATCAGGATGAACAACTGCTGACATTTGATGTATCAGTGGCATTGCTATTTCAGCCCAAGTCTGTGAAAGTCCTTCTGCACACAGGAGCTGATTCAAAAGTATCTGTTCATGTTGAGCATACTTAGCACTGCAACAAAATCCACACAGTTAAAACGCAACATTTTTGAAAGTATTAATTGAAGAAGCAAAGATAAAGATATGTACTCCAGTGATGTGTAGGCTTGAAGATCTCCATTATCAGAACGCAGCTGTGAGATTTGGTGCCAGGGAACAGGATCTTTCTCTGGATTTCTCTGGGATGAACGTGACAAGGCATAACTAAGAAGTTCACTTGAAGGCGATGCAGTTACAACCGACTGTTGTACCCATTCTCCTACTGAAAAAGTGCACAGATAATTTTTAGAATTCTAGGGAAAAATGGTGACTTTCGCTTTCTTGCTTCCCCCGCATGCATGCATAGGAATTTTCCTCACCTTTACCAGAATAAAAAAAAAAAAAAAAAAAAAAAAACGAACACAAAGACTACCTATTGGTTTTACTCACCAGCTGTGGGGGAGGATGGAGACTGGGATGATACAAGTGAAGGACGAAGATGAACAGTTTTTCCTTTCAAATCCACATCAAGTTGGTATGTTGATGGTGATGATCGCACACTACTATAGCTATCAATGTCTGGTAGATAGGATTCAGACTCTGAATCTGGAAGTACAAAATTGTATGCTATTTTAACCTGATATCCCATGGTAACATCAATACTTAAGAAGAGAGATAAGAAAAGATACAACAAAACATAAATAGGGAAGTTATTTTCACATTCACCTGTAGTTGTATTTGAATCATAAGGCCGATGAGGTATTTCTTTTACCCAAGAGGGCTCCTGACCCTCCTGGCCGACAGATGAGTGCTCTGTAGCATCATAACTACCACTCTGATTCAAAGACGATTCCTCAGCTCTGAGTATCCGATAGAGAGCACAGCTGTCTGTAAAGCCTTCATCAGTGACTGATTCCAGAAATCTACCTTCAACTAGAGCTTCACCAATAACTGATGCCTCAGCCCTAAAATTAAATTTTAGATTGATAATGTAAAATATTGTAATAGGTAATTATGAATTATAATATTTTCTAAGTGTTTACCGGTCAGCTGCTTTGCCATTCTCAATCAGCCAATCAATCAACTCACTCCCTGAAAATACATTTTGGTGCACTCGAGCTCGACGTGTTTGCATGGGCAAACCTTTCCCAGGGATGGCTAACTGTTGGCATAATGCATACAGAATCCAAGTGCGGTTTTCCTCTGGAAAAATTTTTGATAAAGGTTGACCCCTAAAAAGATAACAGCACAGTAAATTGAATTATAAGTCAACAGATAAGAAAATGGTTGTTTTTGAGAGCACTTTACTGTCAGTACTGAAGTTAACAAAACAGATGTTTACCTCCCTAATGCAAAACGCTCTTCTTGATAACCAACTGAAGTTTTTCTTCGTAAGGAGGAGTTGTATGAGTTGGAGGGGGGACAACTGGTCCCTAATCTATCATCTTCTTGCTTATCAATACTCCCGATGGTTGTATTCTTTAATAAATGATCATATGAGGAATCCAGTCTCATATCTCCAGATTGTAAATAAGAGTGCACTACTTTCCAGCAGTAGGTGCAAACTCGTAGGTCCCCTGAAACAGCAAATAGTGTTACCTCTCAGGCCACAAGTGTGCAACTAAAAAAGATGTGTGAGATATGAAGTACAGGCAATAATGACCTGTGCATCCCAAAATCTTGCCAGGAACTTCTTGACTACAGCAGCGAAAACAAAATATTTGTCCACAAATTCGACAATGATGTCGCCGTCGAAAGGTAGTGAAACGCTCACTACAGTCATAGCATTCACGGCTACCAGAATCAGGCATCCAATACTGCTTTAGGTCTGTTTCACCATATCCCTGTGGGTTCTGAAATCAAAATATGGAAGTGTAAACACCACATTCCAAAAAGAAAGTTTTTACAAAATTAAACAATCTTGACTTACAACATTTTTTGAGGCAACTAAACTACTAAGACGTTTCAGAACATTGGGCAGACTCCTTCCTTCACTAACGTTGACATCAAAGTGAGGATTTGACAAAGTGGATGGTTGAGCATCAACTGATAGACTCACACCAGAAGATGTGGATTCAACCAATCGTTCTTGTGGCTACACAAATTAATTCTACAGTAAAACCACAATGACAGTATAACATTCAGTAAGAACATTTTGCTAGATGACACACCTGGCTGGAGGATATTTTGCTCTCACTTGCAGAGGATAAAGATGCACTTCTTTCTTTTGTTTCATCTGAAGCAAGAGCATAAAGAAGTTTGGGGTTATGTAAAAACAGAAGTAAAGACAGAAGCCAGTCAATGAAGAAACTCACTTTTGTTAGTTTTGAAAAACTTTGAAATAAAATTGCTAACACCGGATTGCTTGTCCTCGGGGCTCAATGGTGCAAATTCTGTCAGTTTAGATGTGGAATGAAAGTTCTTTCCTGCCATTTCAACTTTGAATGCTTGTTGACGACCAATATATCTTCAGACCATTTCTAGGTAAAATAAATTTTCTTTTGTCCATTAGAAATATTGAATACTAGAATACTACAACTATCTGACGTCTATTAAAGATTATCAAAGTAAACAAGAAGAATTGCCCATTGTCAACAAGCATGAACAGCTGACATAATTACTGACTAAACAATTTTTCATTCATAGCGGTGCGAATAAGGGTGGTGTGCGTTATAGGCACCACCAAATTCAAGGTTCGGGTATAGAGCGCGAGGTTTGAATCGTACTCGTATGCAGGCATAAGCAGAGCAGGCCTTGAGAAAAGGAACAGCCGAGAGCAATTCGGCTCTAAGCATTGCCAGAAATTTCATACAAGCATGTAAGCGAAAAGTATTTAACTTGTGAGACATGTTGAAATAAAGAAACAAAAATAACTGTGTAATAAAAAATCAACATTTATTCTTTTACAATATTTTCTACATCATGCTTAGAGTTGCATTAAAAGTATAATGAAATTTAGAATGTTAAAATAACTACAGTCAGTTCAAGGAATATTCTTTGATTTATAACTAAGGCAAATAGGAATACTTCCACATTACAAGGATTACAAAACATCTATTACTGTTGTCGACAAAATCACTTGCCCTCAGAAACAGAAACAGTGAGGGAAGGATACATAAACTAACTAAAAATTTCACAATTTCATTTTTTTTTTCTAAAAGCCTTTTAGTTTTCTTGCAGCTGTCTCTGGGGTTAAAATCTCTATTCTCAACACCTTTCTTTTCTCTTAGAAAAATTCCCACAATACTGTTCAGGAACTTTACTGCTTTATAATGCTTGCATCACAGTTGAATAAAAACAACACAACGGCAGTGAAGAGCCTGGGGCCATGTACACATATGGTTTTGGGAGAAATTGACAGATCAAATTACAATCAGAACAAGGCAAAACAAGTATTCAGCCTTACAACAAGACAAGTACAGTACAAATCAGAAATTTCACAATCCAATATAGAACTTGATCCTAAATCCCCTTTGAAATTGGTGAGATTTCATGTAGTATGCATGCAGTTTATAAGACCCACTTCCAAAGTACCAAATCCAATGGGGAATACATAGCATTTTTTTATCCAATATTTCCACATTTAACATAATTACACAAATAGAAAAATAAGTTCAGATAAATGCATCTCAAAGAAATTATATAATCAAATTTGTTTTCTTTTCATCCAAAACTTCATTAATTTGCTGGTAGAAATGAAGTTTGTACGCATTTTAGTCATACCATGGAATGATCACACAGAAAGGAGAGTAAATCATTGAGAATAACACAGAATAAAAGTATTCAAAATTGGAAAAATTAATCAAGTGTTCTTCAAATAACAAAAAGCATTGACCAATTCAATTCAGGTTGTTTGTGGTTGGTGGCTATGTGGAAAACTTTCATGTTAAACATTTTATTTCAAGCAATAACTTAGTATCACATTGATGTTAGGTAAATTAACAGTTTTCAAATGTAGTTTTCTTTACAAATGCAAGGAAAACTTTTCATTGTATAAAAGCAGTAAACCCATTATGTGGTCTTTTCTTCATTAGATTTGATGCTATCACTTTCCTCATCTGAATAATCTTCATCATGGTTGTGTGTGACACATCGAGGAGTCTCAGGTCTGGCATGAGGAATTGTGCTATGCATTTTCTCCAACTGGAACACAACATATAAATTTAGTCAGTTATTTAATCAATATGCAAGCACAATAGCTCAGAAGAGCAGCTCAAAAAAGGCACTAACCTTAGGGCGATGATTATTTTCAGTCTGCTCCTCGTTTTCAATGATAGAGAATGTCCTTGACCGTGAGATCATAGGGCTTTCCATTACAAACCGCTGCTCATGGGCTACTGTCGACTCGTGTGGCATCTGGATGGGTAGCAAAGTGAAATTGTGCATATGAATAGTGAGTAGGTTATTTTGAACCTAAGATCATTATATGTGACATAAGAATAACATACCAGCATTGCAGGAGCTCTGAACATGTATGAGAAAGGATAGTAAATCAAATTCAAGAAGGTAGCAGCGTACAGATCAGCATAGCGAACAACTTGACTTGAAAAGAAAGTTTGTCTCGATCCTGAACGGAATAAACTACCCATCATACCATAAGCCAGATCCATTTTGTGAGTGACATCGCGTATCGCATTTCTAAGTTTGGAAATATCAGGCTTCTCTTTTGTGCTACTGTCCAGGTTTCTGTAGTTAAATAAAAGTATTAGAAGTGAGAAATATGTCTAATTTAAAACAAAAAAAAGTTTTGTGAATCATGGTAAATTTAATTTGAACTTACTTGTACATTTCTCCCAATGTGACATCCAAATTCTGGAGGTCCGCAAAAAGCTGGCACTTATCAGTCCAAACATGGAGTTCTTGCACTAATTCCGGAACAATGAGGAAAGTTCGCCATCCTCTGATTTTCTTAGATTTAAGAATATCTCCAAATATGTGGTCTCCAATATATAATACATCTTTACCCTTGGCACCAATTAATTGAGTGAATACATCACATGAACCTGTCCATGCAAATGATTAAAACAAATGTTTTTCAACTGCTTAATAACAAAAACTCCAAAGATAAATTTTTAATTACCTCCAGAATAGACATGTTCAGTCTGTAGTGGACCCATGTGGGTTCCAACTTTCAAGGCACCAGTAGATGTATCTACTTGACGCATGATAGAACCCTCTCCAAAGAAAAGAGGCTTCCTGGCATCAACAACTATTACATCAAAGTATGTTTTCCAGTCTCTGTGTGGGTCTTCTGGCTGCAACAAACAACTTAACAATGAATTCTGTAGTATAAGGAAAACAAAAATACCACTAAAGTGTATTGACACTCACCCTTGGTCCATGAGGAAAGTCAAAGAGGTAAGACATGATCTTGTCAGTAAAATTGTAATCACTGTTTGTCAAAAGAAAGACTTTGGCCCCACTCTCTCTTATCCGAGACAGAAACATTGGTAGACGTTCATCTTTCTTGACATATTCTTCCAGATTTTCAACAGTGCTTGATTTCAAATCACCCTGGTAATTTAAATATATTCTCACAAGGCCGTAGATAAAAAAGTTAAAGATAGGTGACAGAAAGAAACGCAAAAACACTCACATGGATGTGAACCCAGTCCACTGCACTGCGTACATCTTGAAATATTGATTTAAAGGACATGTAGAGATCACCACCTTTCACACCTGTTTTTTCTCTGAGGTAAAAACAAACAAGAGCATTATTAAATAATGTGAACATCAACTTACTGCCATTTTTAAAATATTTGCTATTTGGTTTACCTTGTGTACTGAGGGGAATTTGTGAAGAAGTCAATTAAACAGGCAAGAAGGTATGTCTCAGGGAGATTAAACAAAGTATTCAAAACGTAAACTCGAGATTCATCTAACTGTAAAAACTTGTTGGGGTATAACTCGTACACCTGGGAACTAAAACAAAGAAATAAAATAAGTTAAGAGTTCCAAGTTATATTAAAGTAATGATTTGTCTTTACTTCTAGGAACTTACAATTTCAGGAAGTCAAAACCATGAACACAGACCAGAATATTTCCGTACGCATCAACCTTCAATAGATTTCCGTAGAGTGAGTCAAACCACAGACCTCTGAAAACAGTACGTGAAAAATTAAAGAATCAAGCAAACATAATTAGATACAAAATAAAAACTATAAAAGTACAAATAAATTCACAAACCTGACAGGAAACGAAGGGTCGTATTCAAACTCTAGAATTTCCTGCGGGTAACCCATAGCCACCAGTCTTTTTTTGATGAGATTGAATCCCAGACGCTCGTACTGTGGAGACTTGTACTCTACAGGCAAAAGGAACAGAGAAAAAAAAAGTTGTAAATTAGATTTATTTTTCCACTTTTGGTGTACAGTACGCAGCTTACACCTCACTTCAAAATCAATGCCACACCACATGTGTAGGCGCAAGCGTGTCGTCAAATAGTTGGATAGCGTCCACTCTAAACTTACCACGCCCGCACACATGCGCATCGCGTGCTTGGGGCCTAATGTCCCCC